CCACAATCAGATTTACCTGATACGGTTTAGGATGATGAAGAAAATATGAATTTATTCTATAGTGTATTCTATACGTGGTAGAGCCATGCTGCAGCTATATATGTATTCGTGCTGCAGAATGGGTGGGCTCGACCGGGGAAGGACCACGCTCTCACAGAATACCAGTGTAAAATAGCAGCTTAACGCTGTTGTGTTTCGTATGGTGAGTGTAGAGAACCGGAGACCCTTTTTACTGGAAATGAGGCATTCCATCTTAGTCCTCACAAGTGACAACGCATCTGCATTTTGAGTTGTAATAGAGGATAGATATAGATGTCTATGGGCTGCAGCAACCATATACCATCAGGTGGACTGTGTGCTCGTTTGTCATCCTTCTATTAAAAAAAAACAGTCTATGGATGACAGTATTAATTGCTCTGAATTTCATTAATCCAGAATTTTAAAATTAATTATTTTTTATAGGATAGGGTGATAAACGAGCACACAGTCCACCTGATGGTAAGTGGTTGCTGTGAATTTCAAACTCTTTTTTGACCATGCGTTTCAGAACGCATTTAAAAAAAAATATGGACCAAAAGTTGAGTGCTGTTCCTACTCGTACCAAGCGACAAAAACTTCACAAAACTATTCAACCATGTATAAAAATTGTGTTGTTGTAAAAACCTTCACCTCTAATTATTGTTATTGTATATTTTAAATTTGTAGACACTATTGCCATTGTAATAATAAATGTAAATAAAAACTATTATTATTTTAGTTTTATTATTTCCTAATGTTACATTATAAGGGATGTAAAGACAGCCTCACGAAAACTTTAACCATTACCTCATCATGACCATCATTGTGAGTCAGGTACTGAAGGAATTTCTTTATGGAAATTTAAAAAAAATTTGACTACCCATACAAAATTGGTCACGTGACCGATACATTTTGTATGGGAAATCGATTATTTTTTCATTTTCGGACAAAAATTATTTTAGATTTTGCTCAGGATGATGGTCTGACATGAGCAATGACAATAATAAACGGGGTACCTGGGGGCCGTTTATTATTGTCATTGCTCATGTATGTGTTTAGTATTGTAAAAACGGCCCCCAGTCCCCGGCGGCCCCGCTATTTCTGGCTACGATGGCGCCAAGATAACGGCGGGGCAGGAGTTGCTAAGAACCTCCGGTGGAGGTTCGGTTGTCACCTACGATGACTCGACCTGGCAACTTATAACGCACGCACCTTGAGGACTGACGAGAAGATCCTGGAGGTGGAAGAAGAAGATGGTCTGAGTTCATGGTTAAAGTTTTGTATATTGAGCCCGTTCACTCGTTTATTCGTTTAGTCACAAAAAATACACGAATAAATAATATTAATTAAGAAACTTCCTCCCGCAGCTTCGTCTTTATGAATTTTTCTAATATCATGCGTTTCAATGGAACTCTACTATTTTCAACTAAATTAAAATTTTATAAATGAATATAATAAAAATAAACTGAGTTTTCCTCATAATATCCCAAATTCTTGTATTTTGTGTTCACTCTAATTAGAAAGAGACTGAGGGGTAATGAAAAATTTCAAGGTCGTTTTCTTGTATTTTTTATGTCATTCGAAAGTGCGGGTTCCAGTTTGTACGAAGTACATGTATTTCCATGATGTTACCTATCTATTTGCTAAATTATAATGGGAAAACGTCGTTTCTACTATAATTATTGCGGGGATGTATGATTCATGAGCAATTAAAAGGATTCAGGGTTATCATTTTTTGAGTTACCGAAGGATAACGAAAGGTAAATTTATTTCATTTTTTTGTTAGATAGGTACTTATAGCGAAAAAATAATTAAGTAATAATTTAACTACAGCAGTAAAACCTAAGTAATTTATTACAAAACTTAGTTTAAATAAACTTCACTACCCAAGTACTTACAGACATACTCATACTCGTCTTTGTAATTAAAATATTTTAAGTTATAATAGCACAAAATACTGAAATTAAAACTTTCTTTACAAGATTTTCAGCTAAGAAGATTATGATCGTATTTCTGTTCGGAATCGTATTTCGGGTTTATTTGTTGTTTTCGCTATCTACCTATATGAACCAAGCATCGGGATTCCCGACAAATGGCCTTGCAAGTTGCATGCGTTAGGCATCACAGAACTCACATAGTAGATAATATGGTCGATTATAGTCAGCATAGGTACTTTACCTAAGTAAGTTACCATTTCACACGGTATTTTTTTACTCTTTATTAACAGCCCTTAACAACCACGGAAAGTCCGTTGTGACGTAGTAATGAGAAAAGATGCGAACTAATACGAACACTCGTGCGCATCGATGGAGTTTTATTTAGCTTGCGTGCACGATTTACATGATTAATAATGTTACGTGCTTGGGGTTCGAGACAATTAAAAACTGCCGATTGAATTACCAAAATTGACACTTTAATTACACAACACTAATTACAATCTAAAATCACACTAATAATAAAACACAGTTCGCCGTTATTTCGCTTCGAAGTATTCTCTTGTATCGCCAATGGGGATCCACACGCAAAGCTAATCGTAGAGGGCACCAGCGGCGCCATGGCTGCTGTCAAATTGTTGTAGATTAGTTTACATGAGGAGATTTTGCTTTTCTTTGTATTGAAACTGGTTGACCATCGATCATTTTAAGATGTATTGTACCTGGAAGCTTAAAGAATTGAAAGACGAACTAAAAAAACGAGGAGCGAAGATAACTGGAAAGAAATCAGATCTTGTTGAGAGGTAGGCTTGTATCTACTAAAATATTATACACCTGTAGACATATATATACAAGTTAAGGATTTGGAGCTAGTTTTGTTTGGAACGTGTTAATTATTTCTTGATCAATGTTAGGAAAATTTAGAGAACATTACTCAAATCATAAATGGTATTTTTTGCTTTTAGGTTAGAATCATATGACCGAAATTTTAATTTCGGCAATCAAAGCCCTGTAGCTTCTCAAAGTCAAGCAATTGATGTTCCTGCTGTGGAACTTTACCAGGACGTTAATAGCTGCACGATATTGCCAAAGATTACCAAAAAACATATTCAAAGTTATTTTGATAGGTAGGTAATAATTGTTTCTAACGTTTTTGTAAATATTAAAGATTATTTGTCCACTAAGTTTATTAAATAGTGGTTATATCCTTTCTCTTGATATTTAACATAATACTTTTTATTTCAGATTCAATAAAAATATCAGTGATGCAGTAAAATTGTATGAATCAAGATACCTTCTTATTTTACGATCAACAACATTTGCCCAAGATACATACTTAAAAGGTAGGTTCACCAGAAAATGAAGGTTGATGTCTCAAAAATAAATAGATGGTTAGGTGGTTAAAGTTGATGTGTAATATATTTGTCTTTCTTTTAAATATGAACATATAAATACTTCTTCCAGGTTTTTGCAAGGCATCTATGAAACAACTACAATATGAGGTAAACATCAAATTAAATAATGATGGAATGCCTGAAGAAGCAACATGTGAATGTGCAGCAGGAGAAGGCAAAGAAGCCCATTGTAAACATGTAGCTGTGGTACTTATTGCTGCTGAAAATATTGTTAAGGAAAAAATAATACTGCTACATGAAGTTACGACATCACAACTTCAAACGTTTCATAAGCCTACAAAAAAATATTATGCCACACCATTGCGAGCCTCCAGATTGCCATCCAAAAGGGATTTACATAACATTGTTTACTCTCCATATTTAAAACAAAACCCTTATTTTGATAAAAAGGCATTCCAATGCAGGTTTCAGTCCCTGATTTTAAATTATCCACTCTCATCGATGCCCCTTAAACAATTATTTCCAGCAGCTAACCAACGAGCAATATGTTTAGATCATAAATATATGGAAAAAAGTGCACAGGATGTTTTTTTAGAATCCATTAATTTACAAAATTTAACTGAAGAAAGATTAGTGGAAATCGAACTGGAGACTAGAGGACAAAGTTTCAATCCAAAGTGGCATGAGTATCGACAAACGCACATCACATCAAGTATATTTCACACTGTGTGCCATTTGAGAAGTGAAACTTTAGTAAAATATTGTAACCAAATATTAAATAAAAATCTAGTCCAAACAAGAGCGATGGCACACGGGATGATTAATGAAAAAGTAGCCATTAAAAAATATATGGAGATTTATGGGGTGGTTGTTGAAGAGTGTGGATTATTTTTGTCTCAGGAACGACCTTATCTAGGAGCATCTCCAGATGGCTTACTAGGATCGGAAACAATAATTGAAGTAAAATGCCCTTATGCTTCCAGAAACCAAGAAATCGGTCCTCTTACAGTACCTTACCTACAATTTGATTACAATGGACAACTTATTTTAAAAAAAACTAATATTTATTACTATCAAATTCAAGGGCAATTATATGTAACAAAAAGAAAATTTTGTAATTTATTAGTTTTTACCTATAAAAGTTTAAAAGTAATATTTATTGAACGTGATGAACAGTTCATTACGGATATGTTGAGAAAACTTGATTATTTTTATTACAACTTCTTTAAAAATGCTGTAACCAACAAATATTTTTTTAAGGATTAAGATTTTATAATATGCTAGGGCTGAATCTGAATGAGAGGGTGAGAAATTGTGTGATAAGAGAAAAGTGTGTTTTAAAATGTGATGTTGTGAACAGGATTAAGAAAGAAATTCTTTGGTGGTTTGGTCGTGTGGAAAGAATGAACAAGGAAAGAGTGACAAAGCAAATTTATATAACAGATGTGAACAGCAGAGTCGGGAAGGGATGCCCTAAAGTTTATCGACCAAATTGGAAATAAATTGAAAATGGGCCAGATTAACAGAACCCTTAACCAACGAGCATGTATGACTGTATGTATATGGATGTAAAGGAGGCGAGAGAGAGGTGTGTCAGGATTGTGTTAAATGGAAGTCCGTAGTCTCTGTTTACCCCTCTGGATAACAAGCGTGTTTATATTGTTTTTTAAGATTTTATAATAAACTATATGAACAGTTATAAAAAAGCTTTTTATTTCATGATACTTTCTCTAAAATTACAAGCCATAGCACAAACAAATAAAATTCTAGATGCTAGTGGTACATGATAAGGGCTCAATTCACTTTTTAAAATCTTATATGATTTAGCTAGACCTATAATACGTTCTATATGAACTCGTTTGCTTGCTAGTTTTCTGTCCTGAATTATTCTAACACCTGGTAATTGTGTTTTTCCTTTCAAAAACATTGGTATATTAATAGTAATGTCTCTTGATGCAAAAATGTCCTGCACATTAAAGCCTCTGTCTGCCATAATAGAATCCCCACTGTCACACATATTTATTAGTTTGGATCTTTCTATAATCTGTCTATCACTGACTGAACCTCCATAACATTCAGAGACATATGATATAAGACCTCCAGGTGTTGCTCCAATCATAGCCTTCACAGTGTTTTGATGTTTGTAACTGCTGAAGGTCACCTGCTGTGCTACTGGATTCCCAGGCCGTGTGATGGGTATTTCAGTTGTGTCCACAATAATCCTAGTATTTGGAAAACCCCTTTTAAACGACTCTGGCATATAATATTGAACCAATTCTTTACTTGGCCAAATATTAATTAAAGACCATATTTCATACATAAAATTAATCCATGTTACAAAAATGTTAGCAACAGTAGTTTGGGAAATACCAAATAAAAATGCCAACTCAAAATCTGGCATATACCTTCTAAGCTTTATTAGTGTTATCAACAGTTGGTCACCGATACAAACATTGATAACTTTACTTCCCCTGTAATTTAAATTATTACACATGGGACTTAATGTGTCTAACACCAACATAAATTTTTCATATTTTTCTAGCCCAGTATAAAAATGAATAGCCTGTGGATTGCCTCTCATGGCCTCTAGTGATAAGATTCCAAAAGAACTACCACATTGAGTGCTAACAGACACTGTTTTTGGCGTAAAATCTTCTATGGGGCCCTCTATAGTAGATATTTCAATTTCAGCACTAGAAGACGGTTCTGGAACACTTTCTTCTACAGATGGTTGTATAAAATCAAGTATGCGTCTGCTTCTTTTCATATAACGACTGGTTCTTGATGTAGGTGTTGTTGACACCTGGGTGGACCAAGGGAATATACTTGGTACAGTTCCCTTTTTCAGAAACTTGCATATTTGAGGATGTCCTGTAAACAACAAAAATTGAGAAAAATAGTACAGATTAATACAAATAACTTTACTGTACATGAGTAAAATAGATTTTATGAATTTAACACCATAATCCGATGTATGGAGGCATATATTACATACATTATTTATTTTATTGGTTCATTATTGGTTTATTTACTTCCTAGCCTTTACCCGGGATTTCGTTCACAAAAACTTAAACAAAAAACTACAGTATCTACCTATATAAGTGGGCTTTGGGCAAGTGGTTCAACTTTCGAAAAACCACTAGTAGAATCTATAATTAATAATAATGAATGAAATAACACACCTGTGTAGGCTGATTCTCCTACATAATCAGATTCTTGGAAATGATTCCGACATAACCTGCTATGCTGTGTCGCTACAAAATTTTTGCGTCTTATAGCCTTTTCCCACTTTTTTTTTAATGTTGGATCTTTGGGAAATAAATGTACACCGGGGTTAGCGCATCCTGGTACAGCACAAAGAGGCATATTTCGAGAAAACTAAAATTAACAATATGCTAGGTTATGAAACGTATGGATCTGACAGTTCTCAATGGCCATGTCGATGATACGCCATCTGGCGTGAGAAATCGGCAGTGAACATTGCCATTCAATACTGCTCTGGTCGTGGTCCATACCGGCTTTATATAGGGTCTCAAACAGTTTTCAGAACATTCCACTGTAGCGACATCTAGAATGTTCGAGTACATATCGGTCCCGAAATTTCTGGAAGGATCTCGACTCTCCTAGTTCTGCTACTCGACACTAGAGGGCACTAGTGTAACTAGTGTTGCCATGTACAAGACATTAATAGTGGCGCGCAACGATAATAACTATGTAGGCTATTAAAACGTCGGCAAGCAGTCAACATCAAAAGAGTGCAAATTCTGTACGTAGTACTATATTTATTCTGTGTCAGTACTCACACAATTATAAACACTATTTTATTGTTATCTTTGATTTAGTATAAGAAAATAGAAATGAAAAATAAAACTAAAAAATGAAACTTCGTAACACCAATTTGATTGATAAATCGCTCAGTGCTCCGGTTCAAGGCCAGCGTTTTTACGTGACGGGACCTATATGAGTTCGGCGCCCGCGAGGATATTGACCCTATTGTCAGCTGATGTTATTTTTTAGTTTCACTGCTGGTTTTTTGTTTGAGTATTTTCATGATTTTTTTATGAAATTATCGTTTCATTTAGCTGTACGAGTACTAACATGATGGAACATGAATAAAGTTAATAAGGCGTTGTGAAAAGATGATTTTTTTTTTCCTCGGGATCAAATTTATTTGTGACCCATATGCTAAGGTGTAGTACCTACTATCACATGTCTTCGTTTTCGGGAGCGTTTCACAAACACCCGGTATATATACAACAAAAAAAAAACTCGACCATATTTTATTTTATTTTATTAAATAAAATTAATTTTATGTGGTTTTATTATCTCTTACTGACAGTAGCCGATGCTAAAGCTAAATAAAGCGGGGTCTTTGACAATCCTCTTCGACCCCAGATAATGCAGAGGTAATAAAACCACATACAATTTGCATACAATCATTTTTTAAATAAGAAATAAAATATTGTTCGAGTTTAAAAAAAAAGTTATTTCCATACGTTTGAATAATGATCCTGATAAAGTACTTAACGGGAACCACAGGGTTTTTGTTACATATTGTATATATACTCAAAATTCATAGACTGGGTTAGGGGGTTATTATCGGTACCATCTTAATTTAAGATACATATAACAAGGAAGCAAAATTAAAAAAGGGTCCTACGCTCAATAATATGATTTCGGATTATTAAATATATTTATCCAGATTTCTTTTACATCATCAACTTTTTTAATTTTCTCATATTACTGGTAATGAACTAGGCTTGTACGAAAATAAAAAGGATAGAGACGGGAATCACCAAGAAGAAACGGTAATGAACAAATACGAAATATATTTATTTTTATAGATTTATGAAATTAATAATAATCAAATATAAGTAGAAAAGATATAAAATAGCTGAAAATATTATTATTAAAAAAAGCGATTAAAATATAAAAAAAAATAATTTCCTAATCCCTAACCTAAATAATCCTAACCTAAATAAAAAAAGAAAAATCAATAATATAGAGTATTAGAACAGTAATTTTAACATTAATAATTTTAAGATTAGAAACACAGTAGACCACATCTTCTCGCTTAGGCAGATCCTTGAAAAAACGTTTGAGTACAACATGAACACTCACCACCTTTTCGTAGACTTTAAGGCTATCTATGACAATGTGCACAGAAGTTTCCTGTACCAAGCTATGATGGAGATTGGCATCCCAACAAAGCTCGTGCGCCTGACCGAGATGACTCTTAGAAACTCTCAGAGCGTTGTTAGAGTTCAAACAAATGTATCAGAGCCCTTCAGAACCAATGACGGCTTAAGACAAGGGAATGCGCTCTCATGCCTACTGTTCCACATCGCTCTCGACAAATGTATTCGCGACTCAAAGATCGAGACCAAAGGCACTTTCTATCACAAATCTGTTCAAATTCTAGGGTATGCGGATGACCTCGACGTGATAGGAAGATCTTTACCTGAAATGGAGAGTGCATACCTTGCTCTTGAAAAATCAGCTGCGGGAGCTGGTCTCCAAGTTAACATGGCTAAGACTAAGTACCTGAAAGCGTCAAAAGACCAGCAAACTCTAGTACAAGGAGTTAATATTGGCAACAACACCTTCGCTAGCGTCAATGATTTCGTATACCTGGGATCCTTAGTAACCGATAACGACGATGTGTCTTCAGAAATAAGTAGGAGAATAATGGCGGCTAACAATTGCTACTTCAAACTACTAAGATACTTACGTTCGAAACTTCTTTCAAAAAGCATAAAACTTCTTTCGTACAAAACCTTACTAAGACCTATACTCACCTACGATTCCGAATGTTGGGTGCTGAGCAAAAAAGACGAAAACTCCTTGTTGATATTTGAGCGGAAAATACTAAGACGCATTTTCGGAGCTGTGATGGAAAATGAGAGATGGCGAACGCATTATAACCACGAGCTATACCAAATGTATGATGAGCCAAACGTAATTAAGTCTATAAAGATCGGACGCCTGCGTTGGGCAGGGCACGTGTTGCGAATGGACGAGGCCAGAGTACCCAAACGCCTTTTAGAAGGCCGACCAAAGGGACGCAGAAGTCGAGGCAGGCTCAAGCTCAGATGGTTGGACGGCGTCGAACAAGATATCAAGATATTGGGAATAACAAGTTGGAGAAGGAAAGCCTCTAACAGATCAGACTGGACAGCTTTGCTGGACCAAGCTAAGGCCCACCCGCGGCTGTAATGCCTCAGATGATGATGATGATGATGGTTTACTAACTATTAAGGACTAACATAAAATCAGTGTTCACTAGACAAGTTTTTTGTTACAAAACATTTTTCTTAAACATTACTGTTGAAACTCAGCACCAGTATTGAATATATTGGACATATATTTAAAATTTTATACCAATTTATTTGTTTCTACCTATTTTTTTAATGCGTCATGTAGTTTGATTTATGTACTAGTTAACAAAAATTATTTGAATATACATGGCTAAACAATTCTATAATATGTTAAAGTTCGGCCTATAAACCTATGAACTGATTTCTTTATGGGTACAAATAGAAGTCTATGACATATCCATAAGCAAGCTTGCATAGACAATAATAAATTTTTGTCTATAAAAATTTTGGCTAATAATAAATACTTTTAACTTGTAAAAGTAATTTTGTACTTTATTTTATCAAAATATTTGCAAAAATAAATAAATTAAGTTTTTTTACAGCTATTCTATTCAAAATTTTTAACTTTTAATATGTATTTTAAATAAAAGAAAGTAATAAATTCTAATTGACCGGAAGTACTCGGTATTTAGACATGTTCCGTGAAACCCCCCGTTGTTTTGTATCAAGAAAATGCAATGGCCGCCATCTTCGACTCTTGTGAATGTTTTGGTCGTAGTTACAGACTTTGAGGCCTATTTCATACGTGATATGCAATTATTGGATGAGAACAGTTTCGCTACTTCATAGGTGTTATTAATTCATTAACGCAGAGGTTAGTACTTGTTTCCATTACTATTTTGCCTTGAAAGTGTTTACATCTATATTTTATAGCGAATTTATCGTGATATTGTTGTTTTGCATTGATATTAGCAGTATTTTTGTCACGTTCCTTACTTATTTAACTAAACTTTCAATATTTAATTCAACATTAGTTTTACAGACATAATATTACATGAGCCACATTCTAGTATGTGCTTATAATTTTCATTTGTTTGATACTAATCGCAGTTAGTTTTTAATTTTAAGACTATTTGCGACAAATTTGACACATTTTTCTTTTGATTTATTATAATTTTCTGTTCTAGGTTAGTGTTTACTTTTTGATGTTTAGACATTCAGTTTTCGTGCCACAATAATGGCGGCAGTGAATTTTAACCTATCTATTTATTTGCCTCATTTTAGACGATCTAGCCCCTATTTTACTATTTATTTTGGTGTTATGCTTTACATTTTCCCGTAGGAAACGAAATAAAGTGACTTTTGGCTGATTTCTGGAACAATGGCCTCGACTGTCTTTATATTATTTGTGGACTAAAAATATTTTGCTATGAACGTAAATATATTCAATGCGCTTATTTGCGAAGCTATCGAAGATTTGTGGGTAAAAAGTCGATTTTCGATTGCAGTAACACAAATAAGTTTGGAGGGCCTGAGCCACTCCAACGCGTCATCTGGGGCTCGACCCAAGATGATATTCTCATCATGTCTGCAACATCAGAATATGAATCAGTGGCCCGGCAAGTAAGTATAACTTGTATTAAATTCATATTTGACTTTGTGACTCCCTGCTGTAACACCAAGATATTTAAACAAAATATTCATATAATATATTATATATTTGTTTGAAAATGCTTTTATCATTAATTGTTCTATTCTATTAATAATTAATAATTAATAATTATTTGATTATTTCAGTCATTATAATTCTATTATTAGTATTGTGTTTTCAAAGAAATAAGTTAAAGGAAAGTTGTTCACAATAAAGATTTGATAATTAAAATTTGTGTTTATCTATACCTTTTTTTGTTTGTACTCTTATTTATTTTTTCAACTTAATGGTCATGTGTAACTATGGTTCATACTCTATTTCACAATTTACATAAATCCGGTCCTAAAGTGTGATTTTATCAATGCTATGGCTGAATGAGGGCATTTGATATGGTTGTCAGTCTAATGTGTTTGTACTTACAATATTATATTGATTGTATGATAATGCATTCACGGAATAAAGGATATTGAAGGCAGTGCGAAGTAAAATTGAACTACATGTTAAATATGACAATGGAAAATTATTCTTATATAATAAATATTTTACATTATAAACTATTTTATAACAATAATAATTCAATTTCAGTAAAATTTTATATTGATGTATAGTATGGATGCATAAATCAATTTATTTGAAGGATATTTTACTGATTTATAAAAAATATTGTTACAGGATTATGGGCCGGCCGCCTCCAGTGAAAATATATATGAACGTGTTTTGGAGCACAAATTAACAGATAATATGAATGTACCTAGTATAAGAACTCCTGTTTTAAGGGCTGTGCCTTTATCACCTTCTGAAGGTGACCCTGAACCTGATTCTACTAATCCAGAGAGTATTATCCAGTCTATACACAAAGTGGATAAAGAAGTAGAATTTCATATTGGTGATAAGCATTGCGACACTGAAATGTCTGTTGAGTCTTTATCTAGAATTGTGAGAATTGAAGAAACCACAATTGATGATGTGGGACGCATAGCATACCCCATATTGCAAGAAACTGATGATTCCGGGGATGGAAACTTTGTAGAGAATGCTACTACATTAATCCAGGCTCCTATAAATACAGCTATTGTGCAAAATGTAACTAAACTCCCACAAAACTTTACAATTAATGTAGATGCTGCAGTAGGTAATATTACTGCTATTCAAAATGTTTCACAAGATGCCTCAGGCAATCCAACATTGTGGTTGCCTACCATACTTGCAACTAGTGCTGCACCTGACAATAAAACTGATGATGAACATTCACCAGGAAGTGTATCTCAAATAATAATCACCAGTGAAAGTTATGTTAATGATACTAATCAAGCAGGCAGAAGAACTAACATAATAACAGAAACCAATTATATAAGTCGTCCCAAGACATCCAAAGTTCAGATTCTAAGTAATATTTCTCTTCCAAAGAATACAAATTACTCTCAGCAATACATATCACAAGGAAAAGAGATAACATCGCCTGTATATGGAACACAGAATCATGTCTATAAATTAAGTGCCAATGTTGTATCCCAGAAGCACTTGAACAACTCAGTTTTAAACATAAAGCCTCCAAAAAATCAATCTCTTATAGGATGCTCATCCCTTTCACCAACAATAATAAATAATAGTCCTATTAAAAATGTATCTTATAGCCATACATACACAAAAAACACTAACTTAAACAAGTCATTGAATAAGGTTAATAATGGTGCTAATTTAAATACTATGGTAGCAGCCTCATCCGGCAATACACAGTGCCATATTTTATCTCGTGTTGTATCTGGGCCCAACAAGATGTCTGTACATTCAGGTAGAAAGGCAGGAAATGCATTTAAGAGTTTAAAAGGTTCAAGTCAAGGATCTGGACAGAAAGATCAGTCTAGAGCAATTAAAATTATACAACAAGCTGGTGCATCTCACAAATCTGAAGGGAAGTCATGGCCTGTTGCAAGCATCACATACAAGAGTCAACAACAAAGTTATGGAGTGATGGATTCTAATGCTTCTAAAATTATACAGAAAGTTGGGAGTCCAACACACAAAACTCAGTCAATGTCATTACAAAAAGTTTCAAAAGGTGATCGATTAGTGCTTCAGTCTCCTTGTGGCCCTGTCTTACTTTCTACAGCACCATTAAATATAAACTTGCCCCAAGGTCCCCATTATGTACAGTCTGGATCAACACCAACTCTGCGATATGTACAGACCTATGCCTCGACAGACAATCAACTGTCCACGGTGTCTCAAGTCTCTGCCAATCAGCAACTTACGGAACAAATACTACAGTCACTTGCTCAACCTAAACTTATGTTACAGCAAAGCCCAATTAGAATGAATCATACTGTATTACCAACATCAATTGTAGAAGAGCCTGTTGACATAAAACCTGTTAATCAAAAAAGGATTGTGTTGTAAGTACATATTGACATTTACAAATTATTACCAGAGTACCTTCTAACATGTTTGTTAAGTATTAACTTATGTTTTTTTTTTACAGTGGTGACAAATCTACACTATTGATGGCAGATGACATAATTGGAATGGAGGAGAGACCCAATTTGACTGAAGAACTTCGTCGTTATTCTTACCAATCTTTGGCATTTATTATGTTGGATCACACATATGCCTTGCCAGCACAAAAGCAACCCACTGTTTCTACACCTACTACACCTGTTTCAACATCTGCACCAACTATTGTTTCCCCATCACTGACAACATCACCAATGAGCCCATTAAAGAGAAATTCTCCCATTACAATGTCAACTGCATCTTATGATGTACCAGTTACAGTACCAACTAGTGTAACAGGAGCTACCACACCGGTAGCATCTATACCAATAGGAACTGTTACTTATAAACCAACCCCATCTTCAGTGGATCAAGATGATGATGCTGCCTCAGTAATATCTTCTATGGATGGGGACAGAAGACCGGCTGTCCCAGGGGACAGCGACACTGAAACGGCTCCTGAAGGTGAAGAGGAAGGGAAGACTAGGTGCATATGTGATTTCACTCATGATGATGGTTATATGATATGTTGTGATCGATGTGGTGAGTGGCAGCATGTAGATTGTATGGGCATAGACAGGCAAAATATACCAGATGCTTATATGTGTGAAGTCTGCCAGCCTCGACCTATCGATAGACGTCACGCCCGTGCCATTCAATTAAGAAAGAGAGAAGAATTAAGTGCCCTTGGTGCTTCAGATTCAGATTCATCAGAAAGCATTCGCAATCCTGGACAAAGACGTAAAAGATTACTAACTGTAACAACTTACACCAACACAAGTGGGTCTTGTGTTACCACATACAATTCAAACATCCCAGTTTTACCACCATTGCCTCAACCAAGTTTATCGTTACCTAAACGCGGTCCGAAACGGCCTAAAAAGGCTGAAATGGTAAGGAAAGTTGCTAAAAGGAAACTTGCTGAAAAAAGAGTTAAACGTAAAAAAGACATATTTAATAGAAGCAAATACAACACTGGCCTTGCAAATCAATCACACTGGCAGGATTCTTATGAAGCAGCAATGACTAATCACTACAGCCCTGAATTGAGAGCTAAAATTATGAAATACAGCAGCAAGTTAGGAAATGCCCCAAGCATGGCTTCTGCCATAACAGCACATTTATGTACAACAGTACCGCATGCAGGTGGTAAAATACTTATTGCAACAAAAGACCTTAAAGAAAATACTCCTGTAATAGAATTACGTGGCAAATATATGTTATCAAACCAACATAGGCCGCAAGTACAAAATTCATCTAGAGCAGGAAGCCAAAAGCCAGGACCATTTGTCTTTTTCTACAGGCTCCCTAAGGATAATACCCAGATATGTATTGATACAAGAACATATGGAAATGAAGCAAGGTTTGTAAGACGCTCATGTAAACCTAATGCAGAATTACAGCATTGCATTGTGAAGGGTGCTTTACATGTCTACTTAGTAACAATTGGAGTTGTCCAGTCAAATACAGAAATAACAGTAGGACATGATACTAATGGCAGCAAACAACCTTGTGCTTGTGGCAATCCAAAACATTGCAAAGTTAATGGATTAAATCCAGTAGTTACCAGAAAGAGTGTTGATTACCCTCAAAGAGAAAAGAGAAGTAGAAATAGATGCTACAGTTCATCTTCACCTGTATCGCCACCTCTTGTACCAATGCCTACAACACCAATTAAAGAGAGCCCTCCTCCAATTATGCAAATAAAAACTGAAAAGAAATCGCCTATTAAACACGAATTTCCACCCATGTCACCAATCAAAACTACAGTATTAAATTTAAGTTTTGATGACCCAATTAAAACTGAAACTTTTGACGATGAAGATTACATAAAACAGGAAATAGATTTAACGGCTAAAGAAGAAATGAAGCCAGAAATCGATGAACCAGATTTTGTTAAATTTGAGCCGAAAATCGAAGAACATGATGAACCGACACTTCCTAAACTGGAACCTGAACCTGAACCTGAACCTGAACCTGAACCTGAACCCGAACCCGAACCCGAATCTGAACCCGAACCTGAACCTGAACCAGAACTAGAACTAGAACCAGTGGTAGAACCACCTAAAGAAATCATAAAAGAAATTAAAGAAGAAACTCCATTAAAAATTGAGAATGTCATATCAGAAACAATTAAGGAAGAAATAGTAGAAGATAAAAAACCAAAGGAAGTACCCAAAGTAGAGGAAGAAAAATCTGTACCTAACAAAGAAGTAACAGCTAAATCAGCATGTCATGATAGATCTGCTCGATCAAGTAGAACTACTTGCACTAATCAAGACTCCTTGGATGATAAAACAGATGACTCACAAGACAAAATACCAATTGCCACAAGTAGTCAAAAAGACAAGAAGAAAATGGTTAGTATATTCTTACTAGTTTTATAGTTAAATATATAGTTCTATAATTAAAATTCAGCCTTATAATCTTTGCTTTTCAATTATAGACTCGCGAGGAGCGCAAAATGGAGGCTATAATGAAGGCTTTTGAACGGATGGAAAAAGCAGAGCAGCGTAAGCAGGAGGTAAAAGAGCGCCAAAAAAGAAGAGAATCGGATCCTCATCCCAACAGTGCTGAAAGAGAAGATGAAGAAGAAATACATGTTAATTCCAGAAAGAGAAAGAAGTATGCATTAAACATTAGCACAGTCATTTAATCATTCTTTTAAAAAATTGACTACCCCAGTAATAAATTTTTTGGTTTATTTAGGCGCAAAGGACGAGCTCGTACAACATCGCAATCCAACCGGCGACGGTTGAATTCGGCAGACAGCGACATGGTGACTTCAGGAGATGAGGCACAGCCTCCGTCTTCGCCGAGGGCCCCACCCCCAATGGAATTACAGCCTCCTACAACAGAAGAACGACCCCAAGAAGTCGTAAACGAAGTATGTATAATGTTTTTTTTTAATTTAGTTTATACAAAGGCATTACTTATTTCAACATGACTGAAATATGTGTATAACGTATAAACTTAGTGTGTACATTTCTAAAACATAAAATAGTACTTAACAATAGGCTATGGGAAGAGCGGGAGTCTGACACAAGTGCCTTAAGGTACTTAAAAGACGCTCCCTCCCTTATGCAAACTATTAAAAGCTTAATGAAATAAAATGGTTACTATAATAATAATAGAAAGAACACAATAATACACATATCTGATTATCATGATGCTAAGTAGTGTTCTCTTCCACATTTCGTAACTTATGCAAGTAGATTTTTATATATTGTTGTTCTATGTTATTTTCATATTAGTATATATAAGTATTTTGCATTCCCAGGATCTTGGCTTAAGTTCAGCATGTCTACTAGTAGAAGCAGCTGTTGGTTCAGTTGAATCTGCTTTCAAGTTACCAAAAACAAAGAAAACTATGGCTACAGAATGGATTGGACGTTCCCCAGAGCGCACACCATCACCATACAACTCACCATACAGACCACCTTTGGTCTCCGCACCATCGTTAGAAAGTCTAGTTAGAGTTGCATCAACTATAATTGGAGATCTTAGTGGAGGACAGGATATAGAACATGAAGAGGAAACTGCTGCAACTTCACCTCCCAGAACCCCAGGGCGAGAAAGAAACAGGCCACCAAAAAAAGCTAAGCGAATTACTCGCAGCACTCCTACTGAAGTAGCAGAAGTAATTCCAGCAGTATTACCATTGCCTCAGCATAGTGCTAAGAAGCGTTGGTTGAGACAAGCTATAAGTGAGGAAAGCGACTCCCCTGTTACCGGTTTGCATCAATATGTTTTTTATATTATTTGTTTATAGATAAAATAACTTGATAATTACACAAACAAAATCACAATAGTTAATTGTACTTTAGCAATAAAAAAAAAAGGTTTTGTTTCACTAACACTGATGAGATTCTATAAATTTATTTTAAACATTTTGTCTGTAAGCAAAAGTACTATTGAATATAGTAAAAAAAAATTCACTATGTTAAATGTAGATGTTTTTGTTGCAGAATCACCTCCAAATGAAATGGTGACGCCTTTAAAGAAAAGAAGGGTAGCAAGAGAATCATTAAGTTGTGACCAAAACCCCATAACACCTGTAAGCTTGCCCATTTACTTTTTACTTGTTCTATATTTCACTAGTTTTTATATAATTGCCCCACAATAAGATTAAGGCTTTTCAAATGTATGTATGTATGCCTATTTCTTTCGCACTCTCTGAAGCCTAAATGGCTGGATTAATTTTAATATTATGATGTGCTGTAAGATCGGTCTTAATTGTGGGAGTAATATTATGTTATAATCCTATATTGATTGTTATTATAGTAACGAAATTATTTTTCACTAGTGCATGGATGATACATCGCCAATCCTGACGTCTGAGGATTCTCCAATCAAAGACGATCCGCAATCAATAACACGACATTACAAGAGAAATATCATGGACAGTATGTATAGCAGAGACAGAACCAGGTCAGATAGTGGACAAGGTTCGGATGACCAGTGTAATAATGACCATGATATTTTAAATGTCAACCTTAAAGTTCCGCATGATAGTGAAAATATAAGGAGGATTATCGGCGTCCCAACACCGGAAGAAGAATATCCACCAGAAATAACAAAAACTGAAGATATTAATACTAATAATAATAATTTAGAAATGGAAGATAATAAAGTTGTACCGATGGAGATAGATACAACAATAATTACTCAAGCAAAGATTCAGGAATCTAATGAAAATAACAACTGTGAACTAAAGGGCATAGAGAGCCCTAATGATAAAGTTAACAGCTCTCAATCGGCCGATACTAGTGGTAATTCGTCGCCGCAACGAGATGAAATGGATGATATTCAAAAGAAAATTCATTCTTTCCACACTGAGAATATTCTTATACTGAAAAGCAGAAATAAGAAGCCACCAAAAGAGAAGCGGAAGAAAGTAAATCTCAATTTTGATCTCAACATGGTAGATGATCAAATCAGTATTCAGTTACGTACAGAAAATGATACAAACTCAAAATCTTCTGAAATCAATGGAGATGTTCATGAAGAATTCAGCAATTCCATTCAAGATGATGCAAAAATTCATGTTTCTCCAGAGGATATACCATTGCCTCCTGTGGAGACAATACCTCTTCCCACATCAGAAAATATTCTTCTACCGGCTCCTGAAAACATACCTCTTCCTCAAGAACCAAATCCGATGCCTATTATACCCTCACCAGAAAGAATACCATTACCTGAAGAGCCTATGAAGCCTATAAAGCCTATAAAGCTTGTTAGTGGTGCATCACCTCTTTCCTCATCTGAGGAGGACAAATCTGAAGAGAAGGAGGTTATTTCGACAGATAGACCATCTGTACTAGATTCTACGCTCCCATTTTCATCACGTTTTAGTTCAACAGGACTCTTCTCGGGTATATTCAGCAATATGTCACATTCATTCAAGTTGGATAGCCCAATTAATGAGAACATACCAAATATGTCCATAATAAAGAGTGCAATAGATAGGACTACAAGTTTAGACAATAGTTTGTTTGATAAAGACAGTGTAACTCCAGTGGATGAGTTGAAAAGTGTACAAGAGATATTGACTCGTGTGAATAACATGGACTCGAACAATAGTGTTTTATTGTCAGGTGTGCTCAAGAACTCAAACAAGAGCCTGTTGCCATCTCCATCGCAGTCGCCTAAGCCTGCTAGCAAACCGTACTGCCCTCGTAGCAATGATCCCCGATTAAACCCTCCTCCAGTTGAGAAACCCAAACCAGTTAGAAGAAAGGTGAGTACTCATGTAAAATATCATTATTTTACTATCTGTATAAGTTTTATTTTAAATGATAACTGAGAAATTCTAATTATTGGCATGTTACTCTTTAAGCTACTTTTCTGAACAGGGCTCAAAGTAGATGTGCTAACTTATTATTATTTACAAACATAGGTATGCACTTATCTTCTCATAATATGTAGTCTTGCCACTAATCAGCAATTTATATGTACCTACCTACCACTTCACCAAATATTAGTGGGAAGAATTTTTCTTATTTGAATTATCACTAATCAAAAATAAGGTTTTTACATAGTATCCCCATGATGAAGTTAAATAATGGATTCATAATTGCTCTTTATGGTAACCATATATATATAAAATATCTTAAATTACAGCGTATTATGTCATTGTTGCGTCATGAATATATGTATTGTTATGAATCATACTATGTGCATTTAAACAATTATTAAGTGCTCTGCAAATCATAATTATACATAAGTTGTTTTTTCTGTGAAATTATGTTATAGAAATTGTGTAATAATGCTTTTTAGGAAAAATCTGCTGCCTCCATAATTTATTATTTTTCATCTATAATTTACATGAAACTATGTATATAGCATTAACCAATCTTTTTGTCCCTACAAAACTTGTTATTATTATCCGTCTTTTTTATTTTATTAGTTAATATAAGTTTTATAGTTTTGATAAAATTAACAAGAAACAGTAAGCAAAAAAGCATTTACAGTGGAACCCTGGTAATTTATAAGATTCTTTAACTTTCATTATAATGCCCCAGCAATCCCCTTAGTGAGTGGAATTTCGTAAAATTCGTTCTCAGTTGAACTCAACGTGACAAAAATAATAATTTTGCCATATTTCCAACCTGTAGCAGCTATAGATTACAATTTTAAGTTTATTTTTTTATTTTTACACACCCGCGCTGCCCTTTGTAATTTTTAACATGCCAAAAAGAATATTCTAGCCATGTTTTATACCTTTAAGAGCTATAGTTTAAAAAAGTGATTTTTTTAAATTAATGCCCATGTAACCCTCTTTGCGGGTTGAATTTCGTAGAAACGTTCTTAGCTGGCCTCTACTCACTGAAAGGAATATTCCTACCAAATTTCAAGTCTCTAGGCCTTATGGTTAATCAAAAAATAGGTGTTAGACAAAGTATATAACGGTGGAAATTTCTTATATATAGAAGAACTTCTTTTGTAATATCAAAACATTGTGCAATTGTTTAAACTTCAATCAATTTTTTAAATTCGGTAATACCCTGCATATCAGTCACTCTTTTTTATGTTCATTTATAAAATTAATTACATAATTATGGCAATATATAAAAAGTTTTAAAAATGACTGATGTAGAGAAATTTTTTAGATGGTCACAATAATTAATTTGTCTTGTTTACTATGGTGTGAATATGTGAAGCTATTAACAAATTGTTCATTTTTATCTTACATACATTATTAATTATTATTTTGCTGTTATCCTATTACTTATGATTTCAAAATATAAGTATCAAATTCATTGTAAATTTCTATAATTACAATATTGGAATATGAATTGTGCATATTATCTTGTTTAACAAGTGAGAGTTTATAAAGTGTGATTTACAGTTTCCCTGGTTGATTGATTTATTAAATTTATATTATGAAATAATTCTTAAATATAGTCTAAACTCAGAATTATTTATTTATTTATTATTATAAAATATTTAGAATTATGTATTAAACTGCTATTGATATTTCGGACCTAAGAGATTTAGACTCACTGATTTTAGCATGCATCATTTGCACTCTTTTGCATTGTTCACAACTGAGCATGATAAAAAATAACCATTCTCAACTTCTTGACACACACTCATGTACACATATGCATCTAAAGCCATGTTAGTTGCAATTTATTTTAGACGTTTAAGTGTGTTATAGAGACATGTATTTTGACATAGCATGGAATGTATGCAGTGGACTGTCTTTCTTTTTTGTTCTCAGTGTATTTTGTAAAACTAATTTGAGATTACAAATGAGATTGGTAATTGTAATCTTAAAATTGTTAGTTTAAAATCAATTGGATTTTAAAGTTTAAATAGAGGTTAAAATCCTATCTGTATATATATTGAGAAAATGTTGTAATTCATTGCAATTTTTATTTTTACAAATAGCTTAATAATGGTCAAGGATAATTTATAAAAATCAACTGTTTTGTTTGACATTCAAAGACAATAATATTGTTCAGTATAACATGGGTAAGAGATATTTTAAAAACTGAAATAATTTTAAGCAAAAATTTAATGGATCATTTTGTTATTTAATATTTACTTACAATGTAAAACAGTAGTAAGGAGCAAAAATGCTTATTCTGCCAATTCATGGTACATGTATAACATATATTGCAGTTTTTAATGTGACTAGCTGTGCTCAGCGTGTGTTATATTGCCTATTTTTTTGTCACTAACTTTCACAGGCAAGTGCCCAACAACTCACCAGAGATTAACCATAATTGTATTAATGGAATAGCATATGAGACAAACAAACAAGTTTCCATTTTTATAAAATAAAGTTGCGGTATATATACGTCCCACGCCTGTGCACAGGCCTCCTCTTATTTTTGAGAGGGAGGGCAAAGAAATATCAAGTGAGCTACTCCAATGCATGTCGGTGGACTTAGCCTGTAAGCAACAGTTCTTTTTAAATGACAGCTTCTTTTTATATATGACCCTAACATAATATAGATAGTATGTTATATATATTTCGGTTGGTTAGGTCATATTATATTTATGAATTAGGTATAAAAACTTATGTATTATTAATTAATATTTTCACATATTCTATTCTGAACCAGAATGAATAATTTAGATTTGAACTTAAATAATTTAAGATAATTCATAAGTATCATATCTAATTATTATAAATTGAGTACTTGAGACTGTCAATAATAAATTACTATATCAAATATTTTTAATTTGCTACTTTTAGTTACCATCTTAAAAGTTAAAAAATGTTATTAAATTAATTTAAGTCATTAATTATAGTGATTAAACTTAATAGCGATTTAAATCAGATTATTAGTATTTTAAAATCTATACAAATAAATAAAAATTGAAGTGTCTGTTTGTAATGTCAAAATAACAGCTTTTTACTAAATGCATATGAAAGTATATATACTATACTTATAATAAAAACACAATTTTTAAAAAAAAATTCTATCTGTTTGTTGCGGCTAAACTGCGGAATGGCTGGACTGATTTTGATGGGACTTTCACTGGCAGATAGCTGATGTTATAAGGAGTAAAATTAATGTAGCCTAACATTAATTTTAGAAAAATAATTAGGGTTTCGTTTAAGACCCTAAATTACACGCGGGCGATTTCGCGCGGAACAGCTAGTATACAAATAAGTTAAAAACATTTTTTAAGTTTTAAGTTCTTATCAGAAAAATGCTGCCGCCCATTTGCTGTGTATTTCCTTCTATTGCCACTCACAATTCCTAAGGAATGAGTTAGGGTAAAGGGCAGATTTGAGAATTCTTTGCGAGGGGGAAGATTATTACACTGTTAACAGGCTGCCACTTGAAAACTTTTTTCTATGTATTTTGGTATTATTAAATATACTGTAGGTATACAACTAACTACCAGCTTCACCACTGGGGACTAAGATGGAACAGGGTTGGCTGATTTAAATCAGATTGATTTAAATCATGATTTAAATCCCGATTTAAATCGCCTGATTTTGATTTAAAAAATCATTGATTTAAATCAACATGTATATATTAATGTAATAGGCCGGAAATGAAATAAAACTGGCTTAAAATAAGGTGAAATCTTTTGTTGTTTTATGTTATTCTTATTATTCTACTACAATAGTCTCATAAACTTTGGAAAATCAAGACGTTAGCGATGAGGTCTGTCAGTCTCATAAACTTAGTAAAATCAATTTTTTTTTTTAGAAATTCACCCTTAATATATGAACTGTAATTAATACAGTATGTATTATTTTACTCTTAATCAGTTTCATACATATCTATAGAAATAAATAAAATTGAAGTGTCTGTTTGTAATGTCAAAATTACGGCTTTTTACTAAATGCATATGAAAGTATATACGATACGTATAACAAAAATATTTTTTTTTAAATTTTTGTGTGTCTGTTTGTTCCGGCTAATTTTTGAAACGGCTGGACCGATTTTGACGGGACTCACTGGCAGATAGCTGATGTCATAAGGAGTAACCTAGGCTACTTTTATTTTAGAAAAAGAATTAGGGTTCTGTGCAAAAAAACTAAAACCCCAAATAACACGCAGGCGAAGTCGCGAGGAACAGCTAGTGTATTCATAAAGTTTTAATCCTACTATGTTAAAAAGTGTTACCTACTCGTGTATTTCCAAATATACAAAAAAATCAAAAAAAATCAAAAAAATCATGATTTTTTTTAAAAAATCAGCATGATTTGATTAAAATTAAAAAAATCATGATTTTTCCCATCCCTGAGATGGAATGTCCACAGCCTGATATAATAATTCCAATCCTTTAATTAAATTGAAATAATTTCATAGAGCTTCAATTACAGAAGGATACCACAACTACAACACTAGTTGAACCCTCCTACAAAAACATTTTCTTATTATAGAAGTAAAAGGGACAATCTCACACACATTCACAAACAACCAGAGGATACTTAGGCCCATAGATACCTCGTTCGATCTATTCTCGGTTAAGAATATCAAACGCAGATGCATTGTCACTCTTGAGGACTAAGATGGAATGCCTCATTACCAGTGAAAAGGGTCTCCGGTTCTCTACACTCACTATACGAAACACAGCTTATGCTATTATTTCACACTGGTATTCTGTGCCAGCATGATCCTTCTCCGATCAAGTTTTTTTTTTTTATAGAATAAGGGTAACAAACGAGCACACAGTTGCTGTGATCCATAGACATCTATATTTATTCTCAATAAAAAATCAAAATGCAAGATGCATCGTTACCCGTGAGGACTAAGATGGAATGCCTCTTTTCCAGTAAAAAGGGTCTCTGGTTCTCTACACTCACCATACGAAACACAGCAGTGTCAAGCTGCCATTTTACGCTGGCATTCTGTGAGAGCGTGGTCCATCCCCGGTCGAGCCGAACCATTCGTGCTACAACTATACTACTAATATAGCTGCAGCATGGCTCTACCACGTATAAAACAAGTCACCATAATATGCAGCAACGTGACTACCATATAACAGGCTACATAATATAAGATTACATACATTTAATGTTCGATCTGACGCAGTATAAAATCAAATTCTTTCTATCTAACAGCTCTCTATAACGGAATACCGCAAACGGCACAAGTGCGCCGCTAGCGACTCCGGCTCGCCCGCTTCTGGGGAAACTCAGGAAGGGGGCGAAGCGTGCTCGGGGGGCAGAGGGACGTGCACGGGGGGTGAAACTGGGACGTGTCCTGGGGGCGAAGTGGGAGCGGAGTGGTCCTCGGAGTCTTCGGGCGGGGCGTCGCTGTCGCCGCAAAGGCTAGAAGCCGCCGCCGCAGCCGCCGTCGACGAACTCGAGCAGCGATTGCATAGGGACCTCACCGCTTCGCACACACCCAAAGGTGAGTTTACCTCTACACTTACTTCTCTTTTTGTTCTTAATGAAATCTTAAACGTAATTAAAAACAGTTTTAAAATGAAGACCATCAGACGAATTTTTTTCAGTACCATAATATATGTATGCGCTAACAAAAGTTATCACTTCGTGTTAGAGTTGTAATTTTTTTTAAATCATATGTCCATCATTCTTCAACTGCTTGAATATAGTATTTCAAGCAGTCGACGGATGCACGTGGCTCAAGTTGTTTCACGTTGTTTTGTAACGTTTATTGTTAAGATATAGTAAGAGTTGGTAAACCTACTTCGTGCTCATCTTTTATTTAATTAAAAATAAATCGGTAGCAGGCTAGAATGCAGTGCGTATACAGGGACTACCTAAACACATAAAGACCTCAAAAACCAACATTTTGTGTCATTTCATCGATTCGCAAATAGTGAACTGATGGACATAGGCCTCTTCAAGTTAAAAGCTGGTGCTTCTGGTGCATCATGATGTGGTCCCATATAAATTTGATCAAGGTCTGACCAATACTTTTTGGGTTATTCTTAATAATTCATATTGAAATCGGTTGTACAGCATTTTTAATTTTAAATTATTTAAAGAAGAGTGACTAACGAGTACACAGTCCACCTGATGGTGAATTCTGTGGCCCATAAACGTTCAAATATATTCTAAATTAAGAATAGAAATGCAGATGCGTTGTCGCCCCTAAAAACTATAATGGAATGCCCCTTTACTACTAACAGGGTGTACGATTCTTGTCGCTCGCCATGAGAAAAACAGCAGCAATAAGGTGATATTTTACTCTGGTATTCTGTGTGAGCGTGGTATTTCTTCGGCCGGGCCGACTCATTCAAGCTAGCAAGCGAATTTCTACCTAATATCTAATATCTTTAGTTTTATCGTATAGCTGCTATACTATAGCACATTGCATAGCACCTGTCTTTATCTCCTTCTGCCTGTCTTGAGGAGAAATTATATTTACTATAATAATATTTTATACTTACACCAACACTCCACATTGAATAAAACTAATTTAACGCATTTTGTCGCGTTTAAATAAGTTAAATCAAAACACGATAAAATCCGTAAAATTAGTTTTATTAAATTTACCATTTTAGTGTAACGTAACTAAATTACACAACCGTAGAATGAGCATACATACATGTATACATTTTCACGCACATTTCACATCAGACGGGTAGACGGAATAAGAACTTCTATGTGACACGATCCTCCTGACACACCCCCATCGTTTATTTTACATCCATAATATACCTTCACATACATGCACGTCGATTAAGGGCTTACTCTTAATTTGGCTTATTTTTCATATATATCGTTATTTTGGTCGATAAATTTCCCTCTAGGGCGTTTCTTGCCGACTTTTAATTATTTCTACATGTCCAAACCACCACATTTCTTTCATAATCCTAGTCACAACATCGTTTTGCAAACCACACTTCTCTCCTATGAGTATCACACAATTTCTTGTCCTTTTAATTCAGGTGGAATGGGCATAGTTTGAGAATAAATGCAAAATGTACCTATTATGTTGTTTCTATATTCATAGAATTATGCATTGTGAAAAACAAGCGCAAGGTCAACATTGTCGATACGATATCGAGCATCGATTTATCGATGAAAGTTCATGACGCTATCGACGTTGTTAATAAACGTGATAGCGTGTAGCAAGTGAAACAAAACCATCCGTTCAAGCAACTAACCAACAGAATCATTTTTCCGGCTATCTATTTTCACCAATCTGGTGTTCTAGACGTGTTAAAATTACAAGAACATATTATCCACAATCAGATAGTAAATAATTTTTGTACTGCGAAAAATTTGCCTTCAACTGCTTTCAATATATTTATTTTATTGGGAGTTCAGAATGAATGGTCCATTAGTCTTAAAGTAATCTTATGACAATTTCACATTAAATAAAATCCAAAAGACAGAAATTTTTACGGGTATTTTGTTTATAAGAGGTACAAGCGTTGTGTTATTTCATCGTAAAATATGCCGAGTTGAATAAACAGTACGCTATTTTTCCGTTGCTGAGATAACGGCGCCGTGGCTTAGTTGGTTAAAGCGCCTGTCTAGTAAACAGGAGATCGCGAGTTCGAATCTCGCCGGGGCCTATGATGAAATGAACTTTTTTATATATAATTTTTATTTTATTTTTGATGTTATCAATTAACTTTTAATTAAATACTATTACTACATTTACAGGAAAGTTGTTGGTTTCTGTAAAATTTCTTCGAAGTTTTTTGTAATGTAGGTCATTTAATTCTAATATGTACTCGTCTTACAAAACTTCATATTTTAAGCGGGGCGTTTTTTGCCGCCGCCGTAGTTACTAGCGCAGTCTCGGTTACATTGTTCAAGAATTTGTCAGTTTTTCATAACTGGCACGAAGCCAATGTTATTTGTGGATTGCAATAAATAAACTATTCGCTGCCATTTAAACAAACGTTTACCAACTAAGTGCAGTGTGAGCTATTAGCACAGTTTAAAGAGCATAACACACACAGTTTGGAAACTCCCTTGATATCAGCCGATGCCGTGCCGCCAGTGTAGGTATATACTATTTACGCCGTCCTGCACAAATATGCTAGGGGTTGTCACAAAATTGGAAATAAAATTTGGATTTTATTATACTCATTATCATTTATTAACATTATGTACATACTTATAACTTAAAACATTTATTGAACAATATCATTTTTTATTCCTACAAGAAAAAGTACATTTACAAGTGTTACACTGCCAAATATTTTCGTTACACTTTCTTTTTGCAGATGTCAGTTTTCGATTGTTATTAAATTTAATTATGTGTGTACTCGCGTTGGGATAAACAATTTTATCAATAGATGTGGGGAAATGTAAAAATAGCCTTCATTTGAATTTAACTTAGTAATTCGTATAACTATAACAGTACTTCACCATTATAGACATTATATTTTTAGATAACGGCACTTAATCATTACAGCCCTTCACAAGTCCTCTGCTGAACATAAGCCTCCCCCAAGGAATGCCACAAAGCATGGTCCTAAGCCACCTGCATCTATCGACTTCCGGCATGTCTTACCAGGTCGCCACTCCATCTAGTAGGGGGTCGCCCTACACTTCTAGAACCTTTTTTCCCCATTGGTTGTCGGTTCTTCGAGCTATATGGCCGGCCCATTGCCACTTCAGCTTACTAATCCGTTGGGCTATGTCGGTCACTCGGGTTCTACTGCGGATATCCTCATTTCTGAGTATATCGCGCAGAGAAACCCCGAGCCTAGCTCTCTCCATAGCTCGCTGAGCCACCTTGAGCTTCCTCATACAGCATATCCGTAGGTCGTCACTGGCAACACGCACTGATCGTACAATCTTGTTTTGAAGTTTTGAGGTATGCCTGACGAGAAGATGTGTCGTAATCTCCCAAATGCTGCCCAGCTGAATTGAGTTCGTCGATTGACCTCTCGGTGGAAGTTAGACTTACCTAGTCGGACTATTTGTCCTAGGTAAACATACTCGTCAACAACTTCGAGCTTAGTGCTCCCAACAACTACCGGCATAGGTGTGACATGGATGTTATGCATGATCTTTGTTTTGTCCATGTTCATCTTGAGACCGATCCGTTAGGAGGCACAATTGAGGTCATTGAGCATAGTGCTTAGGTCTTCTAGCGATTCTACCATAAGGCAAATCGAAGGTGAGTTATGTACTCGCTATTGAAGTTAATACCGTATCCTTTCCAGTCCAGTAGCTTGAAAACGTCTTCTAATGTAGCGGTGAAGAGTTACGGTAATATAACGTCACCCTGTCTTACACCTCTCTACAGTTGGATAGGTTTCGTACTATGGTTCTGTACTTGGATAGTCTCGTAGCCCTACTGTATAATCACTTCAGCACTTCGATATACCGACGGTCAACTTCTCACTATAGTGCCAAACACCTGATATCCGTCTGGATGAGAGGTCAGCAGAAGGTCCTACAGGGAAGGTGCACGATCCTCCACATCTAGAATCCGCGTAGGTGAAGTAATCATTTATGCCAAGGCAAAGTCATAAAAAGGTCTTCCCGCATGATTGGTTAAACGAGAACCAAGCCATTCAGCGTGGTAGCCGTTAAAATCACCAAGGATTACGATCTCTGCAGATGGGACCTGTTGTAGCACGGAGTCTGCAGCGATTTGGACGTGATCGATGAATTGGTTTGTGTCGGCATTACCCATAGAGGCACCCGTAGACACGAGGATGGTCGTTGCTGACCTTCAAAACTGCCGAGATGTCCTCTGAAGTATACGCAAACTCCAGCCCGAAGTACTAAGGTGTTATAATTTGTACCCCGGATAGGAGAGTAGTAACGACCGGAGGGAACACCTGCGTCTCGGTTTGAAAGAGCAAGGTCGGCTTCGCCGTCTTCAGATGGAGCCTAGTGGACTTCGTTAAGGTTCGAATGAAATCGCCTGATGTTGCAGAAATTCACGGATAGCATGGCAGGGGTCACCTTTGTCTTATTGCTCTACTTACCACGAGCAGTATTAGTCTTGAGCGGAATTTCGCCCCTTCCCTCCCCAGGATAGGCGAGGCAACCTGAGCACCCGCGCTAAGGAAGAGTAGGGTAGCTTGGGCGTGGATGCGCAGCCATGCAGGATGATCAGCCAGGGATTCTCCAATACCAGGGGTGTTGGTACCCTCCTGGGATGGTTTCTTATTTAATTACACTACCATGTTAAGGGGGAGAGGTGTTAGGACTCCAACCACCTGCACATAACAGGCGAAGTAAACTTCTACTTCACGCTGGTTATCTGTAAGATCGTGGGTCTCTTCGGTTCGAGCCAGTCCATACATTCATTACATTCATTTATTACAGCTCTTCATTTCATGTCTTACCAGGTCGTCACTCCATTTACCCGTGCGACAGCAAAAGCTGCCGTGTGGCTCTTCCACTGTTATGTTGTCTGCCTATATTATTAACTGTAATGTACTTCGTCATTGTTTATGCGTT